GTTTCTCTGTGTAGTTTTGGTGTCAGTCCTGGATCTCGCTCTGTAGACCTAGGCTGGCCTCGAACTCACAGAGATCCGCCTGCCTCTGCTCCCGAGTGCTGGGATTAAAGGCGTGCGCCACCACCGCTGCCGGCAAACCTTTCCTTTCTTAGGTTGCCTTTGTCAACTCCTTTGTTACAGCGATCAGGAAAGTGGTTAACATACAAGTCCAATTTAAAAACAACTTCAGGTCAGATGGAAGTTCTTAAATGTTTCCTATAAAACTAAGATAAAGAAGCCCTCAATTCTTAGGACTGGAAATGTTTACCATTCACTAATGCCAAAATGCTATTGTGATTTAATATGAAGTCACAGAATAAAACTCTAGAACTTCCCATACACTCAGGTTAGATTTGCCATTGGCTTTTGCTTGAATTATATATTATATATTATAATAATTATATATTATATATATAAATATATTCTTGTATCTTTTCTAAGATCAGGTTTTCACATGTGTAACTTACCAAGGTCATACTAAACTAACTCTGAATCCACATAAGAATGATAGGTCTCAAGTTTTTTTGGAATATTAATTAATATTATTTTAAGGGTTTTTTTTTATAATATTTGGAATATTAGCAGCTACAGCATCTCCAGGACCACTCATCTTCAAGTACTCACCAAGGTCACCTTGGACTAACTTCTGTATATATAAAGTACAACTAAAGGGTCCATATGAACAACAAATGATAAGGTTTTGTGGTAGGGATAATACAGGAACCCCTTAGGAGGGAAAATTCTGGTGAGGAGGTAGGTAGGTAAGCAACAATGTACCTCCCCTAGTACTGGGGATTAAACCTAGGACCTTGCATGTTGGGCAAGTGCTCTAACCACCTAAGCAACATCCAGGCCCTCTTTCCTTCCTCCATTTTGCCTAAGCTGGTCTCAAACTTTCAATCTTCCTGCCTTGGCCTCCTAAGAACCGAGACTGCAGGCATGGACTACCACTCCTAGCTTATCTGTGTTTTTGCCCACTCTCAGTCTCTTCTATATCCAGAACTGCACAGAATTAACAAAGAAAATACAAAGCCAAGAGGTTAAAAGGCAGGCACATCATTTAGCCAATATAAAATTCTTACACTTCTCTACATTTTGTTATTCCTAAGAGGGTCTCCTATAGACTAGGCTGTCCTCAAACTTGCTATGGTCAAAGACGAAACTAAATTCCTGGTTCTTTTGCCTCCATTTGCCAAATGCGGGATTTCAGGTCTGAGTCACCATACCTGGCTGACTTCTTATGCTGTTCTTTTAAACTTGAGATTAAACATGTACAAAGTATCTGGGCATCCTAGAAATGGCAATCAAATTCAGGGTACTAGTTAAAACTGACTATTCAGGCCCATGGACTTTAAGGAGAGGCAGGTGCCAGGATGACTTTTCATCTAAGGACACCCGTAATCCCAGCATTTCAGAGACAGAGTCAGGAAGACCTAGAACCCAAAGCCAGTTACGGCTATACAATGAGTCTGAGCCAGTACAGGCTAGATTAAGACCCCACAGTAGAGTGTGATTGGTTAGCATGCACAAGTCTCTGAGTTCACTCCCAACTCCCAAAAACAACAAAATTTACTCTTCAATGTAGCTCTGCAAATCTACAAACAGGCTATCACTTGGGGAGAAAAGAAAGGGGACTCTTTTATGACATCTAGATTAACAATTTTAGCCTTGTGACAGACTAACTACACTATCCTTTTCTTTTTGTTGCAGATCAATAACCATTTCACCAGAAATCAGTTAAGACTATAAGCTTAAATTCTAACTCTGATGGCGAGAGATTCATTAATTACCTCCAATGAGAATTCTACCATTTTGATAAAATTTTCACCAAAAGATTTATCAAATTTAATGTACAAGGATTCCCTGAAAAGTATCAGAACTTGCAACATTGCTAGAAATTGTGATCCGCTATGCAAATTGTGCAATCAAGTACAATCATTAAATAGGCAAACCAATGAACTGACACAAAATCCTACTAATCAACAAAGTGATGCTAAACTTACATTTCAGTATCTTTTCTATCACATATACATATATGTGAAAATAATCCCACACAGCAAATCTAAAAATGTATACAAATCAAAATGTCTGTAGTAGTCTCTTCCTTTCATACCTATTTTCTAATTTTCCCACAATCAGTACATGCAATGAAATAGTTAACAAACCTACTGATGACCAAGAATAGATGAAGACAATGTGTTAAGGCTTTGAATCTTTTGTTGCTCAGAAATACCCTAGAGATAAAATTTAGATTACAATTTCTCCAAGCCAAACAGAAGCATATTAATTGAGTCTAGGTGTAGTAGTGCACATGCTTGTGGTCCTAGCTACCTGAGAAGTGGTGAGAAGCTTGCTTAAGGCCATGCGTGGATACCAGCCTGACAATACAGTAGGCGTCTTCAAAATCTAAGAATTAAGGTAAGTGACTTATTTACAGACAGAAGGCTTAGTGTCTTCTGTTGGGAAAATATTTCCACAGCTTTGAGACCAAGTACCATTGTCATTTAAAGCAAAAGACTATTTGGCTAAAACCAATTAGCATTATTTTGTTTACGTATATATGTGCCTTTCTAGTATACGTTTGTTTTTAAAGAGTTCCCATGTTAGTCTCCAACTCTGGGGCTCCAGTGACACACCTCTTTAAGCTTCCCAAGTGGAGGAACAGCAACCCTGAAACATCCCGCGCAGTTCACATGTGCTTCTGAAAACATCCAAAGCACATGCACAAACTTTGTATTTTAAACATTAAAAGTACACATAACCAAAGCAAAGGCTAAAATGTTTAAATATTTCCTTATCTGACTAAATTAGAGCCCACTTTCCTCTGTCTGCAACAGAAAACTTGCTCAATTATAAAAGCTTGTTTAATTATAAAGGTAGGTCACTTCACAAATGTGTTTAAAAGGAAGCTGATTACATCCCCTAAAAAATTCTTATTAACAGTTAAATTTCTCCCAGACTAATCTCCAATGAATGCCCACATAAATGACTAACAGGTGAACTTTCCTTTAAAATTCATTTACAAGTGCCTGCTTCTCAGAGCACTGTATTCTCAATTCTAAAAATTATTTATATTGTTTAGCAAGCTGAGTGCCATAGGCCTGCCAGCTCTCCCCTAGTAGTTAAGAACTGTCCTTAACACTGAGAGTTGAGAACAATGCATCTAAGTCCTGTTGGGTTTTCCCTTTTTGATACAATGCCTTGCAACAGAGCCCAGACTACCCTCAAAGTCATGGCAATCACCCTGCCAGCCTCCTGACATCTGGGATGACAGACGTGAGTATCAGCTTTAATAAGAAGAACTCCTGTCAGGTGTGGTAGCCGCGTGCCTGCCTGTAATCTCCGTAGTGGGGAGGCCAGTATAGGACTAAACTGTCACCTAGGGTTTTTCCCGGCATCCTGCCCCTCTATTCTTGGAGACAGTCTCATTTCGTGTGGTCCAGGATGGCCTTAAACTTACACCAAACAATCCTCCAGCCTCGGCTTCCCAAATACTAGGATTACAGGTGTGAGCTAGGATAGACTTTTTTTTGGCAGGGGTGTAGTAGGGTATGGTGGGGGCTTACAGGTGTACACAACCACAACCAGCCTAGAAATTCTTTCAGTTCTCATACAACTGTCACCAAAAGTTGAGCCCAACCTTTTCTTTATTGCTGTCACTAGCTGAATCAGTTATTCAGAAATATTTGCTGAGATTAACTCAATAAAACTGTAAGGTTAAAAAAGTGGGTCTGTTTTGACAAGTTCTAGGAACACAATGTTGAAAACCATAGGGCTTTATGAATGAAATCACGGAATAACAGCTTGATGTATTATCTAAGTGGCTTTTAAATAATAAAAATAAATTCTTAAATCATTTTTCATCTCTAAAAAGATGATTTTTAACAGCAGTATTAAATTTTCTATTTCCTACAGAATTACTTTAACCGAAACATGAGTAAACTATATCCATGTTTCGGTTAAAGTAATTCTGTAGTGATTACTACTCTACTTCACAGGGTAATAGAAATTCAGAGAAAAGCACTCTGTAAAAGCACCGCTCAAGGAAGTGCTCTCAACAACCATTTTCCGATCTCACTCACCAAAGACACTTTCTGGCTTTTGACAAAGAAACTAAAAAGGAAATAAAAACTTGTTGGCTACAGGAGGTTGAATAGTAATGGGGTGCACAGAAAATGACCCAAGGCAAGGGTTTACTCAGTTTCATCATCTTTAACGTCTACATAAAGGACCCCAAGTTCAAAAGCTGAAAGATCAGACCAACTGCAAAAGCATTCATTATACATTAACCATCTGAGTAGCGCACTTGGCTGGGAAGAAGTCCTGAAACAAACGCATTACCAAATTTAAAGCCTTTAGCACCACCATCCTAAAGTTCCAAGGTTGGTTTGCAATTTGTAATCCCAAAGTTCTGGGTACCAGAAGCCCCTTTTGCCCAATTTATGATTCAAGCCTCATCCCAAAAAACAGTTTGAAAGGCAGTAAGTTTTCTCAAGAATTTTATATCCAAATACAGATAAAGCAGGAGATAAACACAATGCAGTACAATATATATTCATCGCCCCCAGCAATAATTTTGAAATCAAGAAACCCTCTTTTTACAAAGCCATCTCCTTCCCACTCCAGTTCATTGTTCACAAATACAAAGTACACAGAATATCTGCTTTATATAAACAAAGTCAAAACCAAACATGCAGATATGCCCCATTCTGTACTTGATACCATCAAGAAAGCTGTACCGCCAAATCCGTTCAATAAGATTCTACCTCTCATAGCTTTTGAGTAAACTGTTAGTATCTTTCTAATGATAGACCCTCAGCACAGGAAACACATATGTGCATGCTCACAGTTTATACAACTTTGGAATTTAAGGAGGATTTCTAACTATCTTTGACTA